TGCTTGTTCAGCTCATACATGACAGTTTATTTCACTACAGGTAGTACAAGAATTAACTAATTACTGATACTGCTATTTAACTGTTGTCGTGAATGGCTACTTTCTTACTTTCAACTTTATATAACATCATTACAGCCTATATCTTTTATATTTAATTGCTAGTTTATTTTTCTTCATTGGGGTCTCAACTAAGGGTAATATTTGATAAATCTCATAAACTGAGTTCTATTGCATCTTTAGGAATATATAACTATTTTTTGAATTCTGTGCATCACATCAACATGATATACTCCCTGAAAACATGTACTTATAATATTTCTTTTTTTTTAAAAGTTAAGATGGAAGAAATTCTGGCTAAGTGTAATCAATAAATATTGGTTATACAGAAGTAATAAAAATTCCGTATTACTAAACTATTAGTTCATACTATATCAGGGGTGGTAATTTTTCCCAAGGGCCGCTACCGTCCCACCGCCCTGCACCACTCTGTCCTGCACTGCTGATAGCCCACTCCCCACAGGCTGTACCGGGACCACCTGCAGGCCAGATGTGGCCCACAGAGTATAAAATGCCCAAGTCTTGCGCAAGTTAAGACTTGCACAAGTTAAGTTGATAACTATAGAATTATCAAATTTAGTAATATGGTGAGGTTAGCAATTAGGAAACATCATCCATTCAACATACGTATATTACTCATTATTTTTCTGTTCAACCTATTTCACATAATTGCAAGCCCAGTACTGAAGGAACTGAGCTACAGGAGGAAAGGCAGAATATAAATGAATGAATAAAATAAATGACCGCGTACAAATGTTTATTAGTGTTATTTTTACTCACATCATACTCTGAAATTTCAGGTGCACTGCTTGCCTCTACCTTCTCTGCCTTTTCAGTTGCCCATCGACTTGCAGCCTCTGCAAGCTCTTTTTCTGATAATCTGCTGCTTTTGTCTAAAGTCTGATAAAAAAAAAACCCAAAGTGTAAATGAAGTTGTATACAATGAGATAGAAACGTTTTAGTGAATAGTTCAAGAATCGTTAAGCAGACTCAAATGTATTACCGCAGCAAGAGCTATGTACTGAATAAAGAATGTTTAAATCCTTCTTCCAGCAGAACTTCTCAACAATAGATCTTCTGCAGAAAACTGAGAAACTTTCCAAAATAAACTAAGGACAAGTGTACCAAGGTACAGAAGAGACTAACTGAAAATCCCATTGCACTTCAGCTTAATGTAACACTTAAAAACATTCTCCATTCAAATTATTTTTACTGCTAAAGATTTAGAACAATTTAGATAATAAGCTTACTTTTGCAGGTGATATTGCTGTAGCTCCTGAAGGAGATACATCTCTTGAAGTCTTCAAACTCTGAGTTGAAGATCTCTCTTTATGTAAAGAGGATACAAAAATATGAGCAGAAAAACATTTTAGCCTGTATGGTTAGACTGAAAGTCTTACAAAACTAAGATTCTATGTGTTGAATATGGATTAGATCTCAAAATATTTTGGTCTGAACAGCTCTCTAACATTCTTAATGATTGAGGCTTATCTTTTAAGTGATTGAAAAAGCATGTGCAGCAATATCTGCTGCATCAAAAAAAAAAAATAATGTTAAAAATATTTGACTTTGTGGACTGTTTGAAAGATTTTGGGGATCACCAGATTTCGCAGACCACACTTCGAGATTCACTGGGTTAGACCAACATTTTTCAACCTATAGTATGGAAACCAGTGGTATGATAAATGAAAGTGGTAGAACAGGTGGCAGAATGTAAGTTTTTAGGTATCACCCTGAAACAAGATCTAACATGGGGGGCAAATACTTTAGCCCTAGAAAAAAAGGCTCATCAACGACTGTATTTTTTTAAGACTTTTAAGATCACAACAACTGCCAGAGAGTCTGTTGGTTGCCTTTTATCGAAGCTCTATAGAGAGCATTTTATCTTATGGCCTCTGTGTGTGGTTTAGGAGTTGAACAGAGGCGGAGAAAAGGGCACTCCAAAGAGTGATTAAAAAGGGCGCAAAAGATCAGCGGATGTCCTCTTCCCTCCTTGGAGGAGTTGTACAACATGGGATGTAGAAGGAAGACAGAAAAGATCTTGAGAGACCCTTCGCATCCAGGCCACTCGTTGTTTGAGATCCTACCATCAGGAAGACGATATATAGAGTGCTGAAAGCCAGGAGAAGTAGATTTAAACGTAGCTTTTACCCAAGTGCTGTGATCAGGTTAAATGCAGAGTTATGAATCTGGTGGTCTTAACATATATATATCCTGGTTGTACAGTTTTTAATTGTTATTTGTTTTAATTTGTTTTACATTGTTATTTGTATATGTTTTTTGGTGTTGTTCAGTTGTATGTTGTGAAAGAGCACCTTATTTCGTTGTTCTCAGGTTTCTGAGTACAATGACAATAAATTTATCTTATCTTATTTTTTATTTTGCTAGTATATAATTACTAGGAAATGGGAATTTTCCTGATAATTAAGATTTATCTTCTTTTCACTTTGTGATCAGCATGAAGTTTGATATATTTGGCATTTTATATACAACATCAATTGAACAGCTTGAATAAACCTCTGCCTTTTCATTTAGACTTAAGAGTACAATAATCTAGATCAGGGGTGTCAAACTGGTGGCCCATGGGCCAGATGCGTCCCACACGGACCACATCCATCCCAAAGGGAAAAAGGGAAAGGGAAAATATATCACAAAACGTCATGTGACAGTGAAGCAATTATGTACAAACTCAATTCAAATAAAGCTGTCACAAAGTTCTAATATAACTTTGCTTTGACAGTCATATTATTTCACTGCTTTAGTATTTTCCAAAATAAAATCAAGGGACTACATTGCATTACTTCTAGGAGCAATTTCACTATGGATCACAAAAACATGTTCACATAATTCTTATTATATTCCTAGCTCAAGACAGATGCAGAGACTGCTTCCTAGATATCCAGGGACAGAACTACTGCTCGAGAGATTTTACACTTGTGTGTAACATCCATACATCCTTTAAGTGGACAATTATTTTCACCAATTAATATTTCCTTCCGTTTTCCCAGCATCATATCTCCTCCATCATCCAGATGACTTCACCCATTTTCTTGGAAACCAAGAAGTGGCAGGGATAAAGAAGAAAGCATATAGTGAAAGCATGCTTCCATGTTCATATAGATAAGGACTCTTTGGATATCATCAACATGCTTACAGGGATATCCTTAAATTATTAAACCTGTGGCTTGAAAATATGTAGTGACATACACAATAAGGAAATAATAAGGAAATGTGAAATTCTGGGTCAGATAAAATTTTAAAGGCCTCACTTACTTTGTAAACAAAGATATAATATAAAAAAAAAACTCAATGAAATGAGAATTTGCAATAAAATATTGCATACCAACAAAACGTGTGTACTGAAATGAAACGACGAGATAAAATAACGAAATTACTTGCTTTTCTCCTCCTCCTTCCCACTCTTCTTTTCCCGTCTGTCGTGTCTTTTTAAGATTAAAGGGTTTTCCTGTCTGCGTACTATGCCAAATTGCTACTTGAAATATTCTTTCAGCTGAGAAAATGTAAAATTACATGGCGCCAAGGACTGATTTTTTTTCCCGGTTTAAAGTATTGTAGTTTTTGTTTGTAAGGATAGCCATTCCAGCTCATGGCTTTGGGTGTGCTTTTCTGAACGGTTAATCCTACATTGCCTTGCAGGGAGATATTTATTTTATGTAAAGATGACATACTTCTGCTATGCTGGGACTGATGGAAGGTGTAGGCTTTGCTTCTGTCAGGTGAGTAACTCCTGCTGCTTACACTGGAGCCAGATCTGCTGTGAGGAGATTCTCTCCGGCCAATCGGTGATTCTCTGAAGTACGGGGAGTCCCTTTTATGTGGGGAGCGATCTCTTGCATACTGAGGATATATGGGTTTCCGCCGTACGCCATCTCTTTAGAAATCATTGCAATAAACAAATAAAAACATTATTCATTTATTCAGCAAGACCAATCTTCTTCTGAATCTTAAGAGAAGGTTCTCAATTCTCTAACCGACAAGGGAGAAATACAATGAAAATCAGGATTTTTGTAATTAAAAAAAAAAAAAATCACTCGAACAAGGAAAATTATCAACTAAGTGTATAATGGAAAGTATTACAGGGTAGGAGGCAAGTTCTAATTTTGAGCAGTCACAAAAATAATTCATTGCTAATTCGTTTTAGGAATCTGGAAAAAAAAATTTAAATACGTTTTTTACATTTTTAAATATTTACCCATAAAGAAAAAAGGACTTTAAAAATATTTATGACTTAAATCTTTTTTATATTTTCTTGGATTGTAGAAACAATTGTCTAAACCCATTTACTAAACAATAACAAGCAAAACATTTCCTGATCCAGCTCTATATTTTTCTCAATCATTATGTTTTACCTTTATGGAAGTCATTGTTCAGGGAAAAAAAATATGAGGTTTCCTTTGTTCACACTATTTCATACTTTTATATAACGACCAACTGAAATCTAATGAAAACAAAATTCTACTCACTAGAAAACTAACTAGCCAAAGTTAACATTGCCTCTGACCAATCAAAGCACAATATACTAGGGAAAAATACATAAGAATAATAAACAAAACTTCAAACTGAAGAGATACTCATAAAGTTAAGTGGGATATAGCATCTATGCTATATCTTTCAAATGACAGTGGTTCTCCGGATTCGTTAGCCCGCTTTTTTGGCAACCATCTGTCACTGAAGACTTCAATTTGCTGGACTCTCCTGGCTGTCTATATTCAAATCTCAGAGTACCAGTTAATTTAAATGTTCACAAACTGTTTCCATTTTTTTTTATTCTAGAGACTTTAGAACTTTATGCAGCTAAACTGAAAAACAATACCTATAATCAGTTGGCCGACTTTCAGAATGTTCTTCTCTTGACCATCTATATCCTGGATCATCCTACAATGGAATATTTCAACATAAAGAAAAAATTAGTTTCAAGAAGCTAATAGCAATAAGATACTGTGAAACACCACTGAAAAAGATAGTTTTTATAATTTCTTCAAAACATATCGATTAAAAGAAATTTAACATGCCATTAAAATGTATTTAATGTACGAGGGCTATCCACAAAATAGATTATGTTTTTCGTCTGTAGCGAGAAGGGGCGGAGCTAGCGCGGCCATCTTTTGTCTCTGCGTCCGCCGCTCAGTCTGAATCTAGTCGTGCTGGTGGGAGGTTCGTATCGTTGCCCATTATTTCACAGCAAACGCTTGAAATGTGTGCTGCAATTGAAAATCCCGCGAGTTGTGAGGTGCGATCAGTGATAAGGTTTTGTTGGCAAAAAACCATAAACCATAAACCGATTGAAATTTCCATCCTCGTAAGAAAAGCAATTCAGAACAAGCGTAGAGGAAAGTTAAGCTCAAAAATTTTGTTTTTGCATGACAATGCCCAACCACACACAGTAAATTGCACTCAAGAAGTCCTGAATGCTTTCAAGAATGCTTTGCCTCATCCGCCCTACAGCCCCGATCCTGCACCAGGCGGCTGAATTTTATGACAATGGAATTACAAAGCTTGTTCACCGCTATGATAAGTGCCTCAATTTGTTCGGTGAATATGTTGAAAAGTAGTATTTAAGTGTCACTTTCAAGTGTATATAATAAATGTTTTTTCCTACACTTTGTTTTTTCTCTATCGCAAAACGTAATCTATTTTGTGAATAGCCCTCGTATTTTAAGGGAAAAAGAAATATCAACTGAACAAATATTAAATGCAAAAATAAGAGGCTGATTCATCATATTGTACAAGAAATAGCCAATATATCATTAAAACAGACTGGCAATTGCTATGTATCCAATGTTGTTATTTGCCCTCAGACAATATTTGTGAATGAATTCTCTTCCTCTTCTGAAGCCCATTGCTCCTTCTCATGTTTTTTTCAGAGAAATGGAAGCTTTAAGCATATTTCAAAAGCACAATTGACTTAGTACAGTATGTTCATAGAGTTACAGCACAACATTTAAACGTCCAAATTATTTTTAAGTGCTATTAATGTAACACGGGGCTGTACCTAACAATTGTGGGACATTTAACTTCCAGCCACATATTCATCAGGAAAGGGAAACTCACAATTCTATGTGGTAGTCCACTTCTTCGTTCGTGGGCAAAACCTCGACTTTCACCATAGTCTCTGTAGCCTACATGAGCATGGCCATATTCGTATCTATTATAGCCTTCTTCACCAGATCTTTCTGGAAGGGATGGTTTCTTGGATGCAAAACTGACTACTCGATGGTAGTCATCCTAAAATTATATACAATGCCAATCATTAAAAATTATAAGTCATAAAAATAATCTCAAAGATTAACATGGATATTGAAGTTTCAATAAAGCCAGTAAATACGTTAGAAATCAGTGTTTCTTATTTTAGTTCATGCCTCTTGTTAAAGAGCAGATGAAGTAGAACTTAATAAGATTCAAAATATGTATTTAACTGAACAATAATGATACTAGGCTCATAAAAAATGAACAAATACTTGAACTAATTGCTTTTCTACAAATTTAGTATCAACCACCATATTATAAAATCTTTACCATTATTTGAAAATTGTTTATAAAATTTTAAATTACCTAGCTGTAACTGTTTAGACCTAAATAATAGGATTAAAAAAATAATAATAGCATACATGGGAAAAATAATGGCACGTAAAAACAAAAAAATATTTTTCTGTACAAAATAAACATTGCTATTGGCATCATCCTGAATAAACGTAGACTTTCTAATGGAATACAAAGAATGGTGGTACAAATTTGAGACTGCTCTCTGAGCTATCCAATGAAATAAATAAGAAAATCTGCCTTTGAATAGAGAAAATGATTAGTTTATGCAGTTTTTAAAAATCAAACCAAAAATAAGGCACAGGCCAGGGCTTGTAACAACCACCTCCCTGTTTTCTCTGTTCCTCTCCAGACCCTTAGGGAACCTGTATTTGTCCAGCTTAGGGATACTTACATTTACACTGTGCAGTATTATTTTGAGACAGCTGGAAAGATTCCCTTGGAGAAAGGAAGCTTGCTTAAAAAAAAAAAGCTAAGCAAAGCAAAGCCAAAAAAAAAAAGCGCCAAACTCAACTCATCTACATTAGAATCCAACAAATAAACCATGGATAGGCAAGAGATTCCAATTATTAATTTTCTGGTAAAGACAATTAGGTCAGATTGTCCCGTCTTAGCCAGTAAAGTCAACTGGATGACTTTGAGCCAGTCACTCTCAGCCCAACCCATCCCACAGGGTTGTTATTTTGGGGGGAAATAGGAGGAAAGTATGTGTTGGATATGGTCGCTATCTTAAGTTATTTGTAAAAATAATGGAGGCGGGATACAAATAAACAAACAATTACCACAGTGGATGAGGAGAAGCAAAGTGAGGCAGGCCACATCATAATCATGGGCGGAATTAGGATTTCTGTTACTTTTCAAATTTTAAAAGGAACTTTTGTGTATGTGTGAGAAATGGTGGGAGAGGGGGATGCTATACCGATTTTTATCCACTGATATGGAAGAGAATGCCGTGAACTGGAAAAAAAAGACTTTCGGAGAAAAAAAAAGGCGGATACAGACTGAATATAAAGATTAGTTTCTCCTTCTTGCTTGTCCATTCAAGGATAAGCAACTCACATGATCAAGATAAAAGCTCTATCAAACAGCATTTTACAAAGCCCAACATAGGTATTTAAGAAAGACCGTATTAGGAATGATACCAAGTTTTATAAAACATAGCGTTGTGAACCAGCGTAGGCCTCCTAATTGAGTGTCCGTCCACGTGTGCACTGTAATCCCCATAAGTTTGAGATCATAAATTTAAATTCCTGATCAACAGCTAAAAAGATTAAAAAGAGAAACTCCATAACTATTAGCAATCTGCTTACGTCAGGACGTGGAGGAAGTCTTTCTCGTGGTAATCTTTCATATTCATACCGCTCTGACCACATTTCATCTCTTCTATATGACACTAAAAATAAAGATGTTATCAGCTAAATATATAGGTTTAACTATTTATTAACATGAACTGAATAAAACACTTCTATGAATTAATATGCAAAACTTGCAATAGTTATTTTTAAACATCCAAAGGCTGAGATATTTAGCATTTTTCCTTTAGAAACTTATTCAACATCAAAAATAGGTAAATACTCTCCAGTGCATTATTTAAAAAATTAAATTGTACTTTTGGCTTGAAGAGAAAAAGAGTTTGAATTTCAGATGGAGATTCAATGAAGCCATTTTACAAAAGGAAAAGGTTGTAAGAAATTATAAAAACTTCAGGAATGTGTTGAGAATAATTTTGGAAAAGGGACAAGTTTAATGACAGGATAGGATGCTAGCAAAGCGGTTTTGAGAGGCTATTTTATACAGGCCAATCGCTTCGAGAAGAAAAAAAATCCCAGGAAAAGATGCAAAGAACATTGGACAAAATTAGACAGAAATAAATTCAGCTACAAAAGACACCTACCCATGTTTTTCCCCAAAATAAGACCGGGTCTTATATTGTTTTAAGTCTTAAAATAAGCACTTGGACTTATTTTCAAGGAGGTCTTATTTTTTACATGTACAGGAGGCAGTAAGCCCACTGGTCCCACGCTCTCCATCCCGCCTGTGGCTGCAATTTAACCCAAGTTCTCTGCACCCTGGCTTCCGCCGGCCCTGCTTGCTGGCTCTGCTGACCAGCTGACTGTGTTGCTCTGGCCTTGCGGGCCCTCTTCGCCCTCCTGGAAGTGCTGCTTTCAGCCGTCCTGCTGGACTGCTCCTGCTTGGTGCAGGGCGAGTCGTCCCAGATCTATGACCTCCAGAGTGCCCCCCCTGCTCAGTATGTTTGGCTCAGTAGGGATTGGGGACTAGCCGGACCAGCTGAGGGAGCCCATTTCTCATGTTTGGCTGGGCCCACGCAGAGGTCAGGCCTTGGGGCACCACTCTGAGCAGGTGCTGAGCTGAAGGCGGGGGAGGGCCACTCTCCTTACCCAGTTGCCTTCCGCCGTTTCTCACCAAATGTGTGTGAGAGAGAAACGGCAGAGAGGAAACCCTTTCAGTCAGCATTGCCTGCAATTCAGTTGGCTCAGCTGATCTGCGGGCTGCAGTTAAGGGACTGAGCAGCCATGAGGTGACCATGGAAGGGAAGGGCTGCCTCCTCTGCTGACCATGCCCACCCCTTCACTAGGGCTTATGTTTGGAGTAGGGAGTATATTAGGCCCACCCCAAAAAATCAGGGGAGGACTTACTTTCGAGGGAAGTTGTATTTTGGGAAAAACACAGCATAGATCCTAAAATTTTACATCCTATTAAATTGTTACGGCAACAATTATCCGTGTTAATTGTTCAGGAAATAGAAACAAAATTGAACTCCACAACACAAAGGCATTTTGAATTTGCAGTTAAACCAGACAGGTTAGCATATAAATTAAGAAAAAAAAGACAATGTTTGGGAAAATTTGCAATGGTAACAACATAATAACAGGCAATGAACTTATTAAAAAGTTTTTTTCATAATTTGTATTTAAATTTGTATAAAAGACAGGAATTCGATATGTTAAAAATAGACTAATACCTTTTAAGACAACAGTTACCTAAACTATAACAAGCTCAGAAGGACATGATTTGTTGTTGGGATGCCACGCCATCTTATGGTACAAGGGAACTAAAACACAGGGGTATTTCAGAAGACATTATATACGAGAGACTTTGGTATTAAACTGGGAGAAGATTAAAAAGCAATATTATTTAAAAATTCCAGTCTGGTTATGCTATGCTATGAGCTCTCAGGCAATGAAATAAGCTCCCTAAGGCAGCGTACTTGGCTCCTACTCTCATAGCATTTGGGAACATAGGAAAAAAGCACCTCTTTCACCAAGCTTTTGTCAGTTTCGTGATTGAATTTTATTTTATTTAACTGAATCAATTTTATTATGTTTTGTGGTTTACTTTTTACAATTGTAAGCTTCTTCAATGTTGTAATGAATGTGTAAATGTAATAATGAACAAAAATGTTTTGAAAATTCTAAGGTTTACAGTCATTCTAAAGTTTTTTTAACTTAGAATTGGGACATTTTTTATGTTAAAACTTTTTTTCTAATATCTACAACATTTTTGATTCATATACAAATCTACATTCTTAGCTCACTTTCAGTCACGTACAAAGCAACAATTTCAACAGATATATGGATGAAAGTATATTTATAATGTATACTTTATAATGTATTTATAAAGTATATTTATAATGTATATACCCATCATAAACTGTCCACATATCAAGTATAGTGAGTAGTATTGTGAATATTTATCTTAATCATAAAGCAGTGCTTTCATTTCGATACATCGTTAAGACACAGATAAATAAACTACTTAACTGAATTGCAAAAGCATAGCGTCAAGGGATGGCATACAATATTGAAAGGCCAATCCTTTTCAGAATATTTGTTTCTACTGACTATCTAGTACGGCTTCATAAAAGGGATATTATAGAGGAGAAACCTGGAATCTCACTATAAAGATTAAAAAGAAGCATGCAGTAGTTTTCACATGACCTTTAAAATGATATGTGCATGTTGAGGAGGTTTTTATTTTTTTTAGTATCACTTCACAAATTACAATTTTGTTATCAAATTGGAGGGGCTCATGCTTAATGATTTACATGGCACAGATTACGCACTCCTAGTTTAGGAAATTACAGCTAGCCCCCTCATTTAGCAATTTCCTTGTTTAGTAACCATTCAACATTATGACAATAATGAAAAAAGCTTTTTTTATGACAAATCCTTGTATTTACAACTTTAGAAAATCTGTGAGTAACAACATAAGCACAATAGCATGATTTTCACTTAGCAACTACTTTGCTTAGCAACCAATTTGCCAATCCTAATTGTGATGCTAAAGGACTATCTGTACTGGAGACAACGTATTTCTGAATGACATTTTCTCTTCTTACAATTCTCATCTCTCAAAAATCTGCCATCTTGAATTAAAAGATTCACTTGAACAGAATTCAATTAAAGGAACAAAATCATTAACAAGCAATGATCAAAATTAAGAATTGGCTAGAAGAAATTATGAAACAAAAAATCAAGATGAAACCAAAAATATTTTTATGGGGTATATTAAGATATAATATCTTTAAAAAACTTCCAATACATTATACTTCATATAATAACCGCGGCCTGAATTGCCTTTGCCCAGAACTGGTAACAATACTCCTTCCGACATAATGATAATAAAATAGGTTTTAGAATGTGCAGAAATGGATATGTTATTGATGGAACTAAAAGATAGAGAAGAAACGGAGTACTATGAGATTTGGAATTTATGATACAATTGGTTGGAAGGTAGACACAAAGCTGATAGATGACAGGTATGTAGGAGTTAGAGTAAGATGAGATATTGTTTGTAATCTTGTAAATATTTGGTTTAAGTTGAATGCAGAAACAACTGTGTAACCTATAGTAGCAACCTACATAATTAGAAAGTATGTCAATATGAGTGAACACCGATACTGGAACACTGTAATGAGTGGAAATGTGTTTTTATGATGAAAATATGATTAATAAATTTTATTTATAACATTTTAAAAAATAACAAGCAACGATCAAAGTATAAAGCTAGAATTTAGAAAAATAAAAATCAATTTAAACAGCATAATTTACTTCTACTAGAAGTCATTCTACTTTCATTGTCAAAAAAGATGTTTTAAAAAGCTTACTTACTTCTGTGCTTCTTTCAACTATGCTTTAATCCCAATCCAACTAGTTCCTGCATATTAAAAAAAACCAACATCTTAGAAAAAAGGCCAATAATTTAAACTCTCAAATGAATAATCAAATACACTTTACTGGGATAAAGGCAAGGATACTTGTGCTGCACCCAAATCAGCCATACTTTCCAGTCACAAGTTGAAAACCTTTTTCAACTGATTTGTGGAGCACAATACTCCATGGCTTTCTATTCCACCCATTCATTTCCCATTCAAACAACTATAATGTATAAACACAGCTTCTTAGCATATTTAAAATGTTTAAAAAGTGGATTAATTCGCTAAAGCTCAACCACCTCCCTACAGTGATTCAAACTGATGCAATCTATTCACACAATTCAAAACCGCTTTTGCAGCTTGTGACTTCCTGCCAGCTTCCTCCTTGACTTTGCTTGTTGGAAACTGGCTGTGAAGGTTGTAAATGGTGATTGTGAGACATTTGTGGCCATTGTAAATATATGTTGGTCTTGAGGCAACCAAATCACATGACCAGGAGCGTACTTGACAGAAGCAATTTCAAGGACCAATCATAAATTTCTTTTAAGTGCTATTATTGTAACTTCGATCGCTTCAACTTCATTGGTAAATAAAGATACTTATAATAAAGACAGGCTTTGTATCACTTCAGTGATGGCTGGCTGTGCTATAAAAGTGTAAATAGTTACCATGGAAATGCTGCCCTAGATTCAAATCCATAGAAAACAATTAGCTGTAGATACTTGCATCTAAATTTGGTTGTGCGTCTGATTTTACCTTTGATTTTTGATGTATGTAGCTTCTTTAGTAGTATAGGACTAGGAAAATGATGAGAAGGAAAGAATTGTAATCTGTACTTCTTTTTTCATTTTCCAATTATAATTTAATTCTTAAATCACAATACTGAAATTAAACGTGTTTTAAAAGAGTCTTGCAACAACAACAAAAAGTAATAAACCATCTATTGTAATGCAGTTCAAAAGTGTTGAATTTGGGAGATCCATTCAAGTCCATCTTTAACTATGACAGCTACCTGGATGACTTTGGAGCAGTCATCTCACGGCCAATGTACTCAGAGGCTTGTTGTGGATAGAAGATACGGGAGCACAGAATTTATGGCTATTACTTTACCTTCTGAAAAAGAATGATGGATAGAAATGTAGTACTGTAAAAAAAAAAAAAAGGTTTACCTGCTTGGCAGTGTTTGATAGGATGAGGAAATAGCAGGTAGGAGCAATCTATTGACTGGCTGTCGGAATTAGATACCGTTCTTTGACAACAACAAAAATTCCAAACTGAGCACAACCTTGCTGAGTCAATGAGTTAGCTTTAAACCACTTTTAGGGGGCAGCTCATTAAATCGGTGACCAACACTGAATAT